CTTCAGCTGTTAAGCTGATCCGGCTAACAGTTTAAGCTATCCAGCATTCAAACGGCATTTCTGCAAGAAATGCAATTTATCTAGTTATTATTATCATTGTTGTTGTTGTTATTATCATGAATGGAAACAGGTCTGTTGTTGCTGCAGAAGTTTATTTAGATAAAACCTATCCAGGAAGTAGACACAACATGTCCAGAGGAGAGCATCGTCTCACAGGAAGCTGGATGTGGTTTTCGAAATAAGACCTGCAGGTGATTCAGGCTGAGACGTTTAGTCTGATTCCACAGATGACTGAGACATGATGATGGTGATGACATCACCTCGCTGATGTTGATCTGATCAGAACCAGGAAGTGGACACAGGACCTCTCACAGGTAAAGGGTTACTGGCCCATGAGGGCCAGGAAGACCCCCGAGGGCTCTGACTTGACCCTGGAGCGGTTCAGGTGCGCTGACTGTGTCTCTGACAGATGTAGCGCAGCCTGGTGGAGCAGTGCAGGTCATTGAGCTGTCCCTCGTAGTGCAGGTGAGCACAGTCCTCGTCTCCAGGGCCCAGACCATGATGCGTCCAGCTGTCAGGCTGTCCCGGTCTCCACCGTCTGGAGACCAGAGACAAACACCAGGGGGGTGAGAGTGGACAGTAGTTGCATGAACAAACTCCTGAGCTGGTTCTGGTTTATCTGACTTGGTGCAGAATGTAAACTAAAACTCTACTTAAGCTGCTCTTACATCTCACCTGTCCTACAGATGAGCTCAGGTGTTTCTGCGTCACATCCCTCCTCCTACAGTAAATGCTCCTCATCAGTCTACTGCACATACAGAAGCTGGTTGACCTGGGCTGTTTCTACGGTAACCATGGCAACAAAGAGGTCTAGAAAACATATCAATGAGACTGATGTCGCTTGCTGACTGATGTGCTGATGGTGAGGCACGCAAAAGTCTTGTTGTCTTCCAGCAGCACCGCATGAGCAGAGCAGTGAAGCTGTAGAGCGATCATGGGAGACATAAAATAAATGGATGAATGAATAAGAGGTCAGATGGAGGCAAAGAGGAAGACGGTAATAGTCCCTGATACCATCTAAACCTTTTGCATCAAGGACCTCGGGGACTGATGAGATGTTCCAGACCTATGGAACAATTAAAGAGCAAGTCACCCCCAAATCAACTTTTTTCCCCTGATAAACTAAATAAACGAGTGTCTAATGGTGCTGCACACACGTATAAGTCAATAGTTTTGCACTTCATTGCATTTTAGTTAAAATGTTAATGTTCTGCCTAAAACTGTCAGTGTTGTGTCGTTGTCAGGTAAAAACTCTGCACTGTATTTGAATTTAAATCTGCCACCGCTATTGGCTAAGAGGTATGCTATGATGTAAACTGGTACATTATGATGTCACAATGCCGTGGTGAGCCTGTGTGTGTGTATTTGTTAGTGGCTCCGCCCTCTCGGTCTGCCAGGCAACAGCATGTGTTGCATTTTTCAAACATGAAGTGGGAGTGGAGATAGACTCTGGTAGGGGGTGACTTGCTCTTTAACTTTACCCATCTTAAAAGCCCCTCCCATGGACCATGGACAGCTCCTTCAGAGGCAGACTGAGACATCCCAGATGTAAAACGGAACGCTACCGTAGGTCTTTCATCCCCTCTGCAGTAAGAGTGTAGACCTCCTCAGTTTAACTGGTACTGGCATTATCCTGGTACACAATACCGGTACTCAGCATGTTCCATTCCATTTATGTGATAGAGCACATTTAAAAACAGCTGACCAAAGTGCTGTACAGGGGTGAAAACATATAAGGTTGAAAGAACAGTGTAAATAAACCTAGATAAGAGAGCTAGGCAGTAACAGCAAGGGAATAAAAGTAAGTCTTTAAGTGAGACTTAAAACCTCCAATGGAGGAGGAGAGTCTGATATTCAGCGGGAGATCATTCCAGAGTTTCGGAGCGCAGACAGAAAAAGCTCGTTCACCACGGGTTTTGCAGCGTAGACGGGGAATCTGTAGTAGGTGTGGGTCACCTGAACGGAGAGTCCTGCCCGGCACATAAGGAGTAACTCGGATATGTAAGGTGGAGCTAAGCCATTCAGCGCCTTAAAAACAAACAATAACATTTCTAAACGTATACGGTAGTGCACAGGAAGCCAGTGAAGTCTTGCTAAAACTGGAGTGATGAGCTGCCGACGGCCAGTATTGGTCAGAAATCTTGCTGTCGCATTTTGTATCAGCTGAAGGCGAGATAATGCGGCTTTTGAAATGCCAAACAGAATTGCGTTGGAGTAATCCAACCTTGAGGTGATGAAGGCGTGAATGGTTGTCTCGAGGTGGCGCCGACTCAGAACGGGTTTTAGTTTGGAAAGACGTCTCAGCTGATAAAAACATGATTTAACCATGTGACTAACACGAGGGTCCATTTTTAGAGCTGCGTCCATTTTAATTCCAAGATTAACAATTGTTTGACTCATTTTAAAAGGAAGAGCAGAAAAATCAGGAGCGGAGGAAGACGAGCCATTAGGAGTAAAAACAATAAACTTGGTCTTAAAATCATTCAGCAGCAGAAAATTTGCTGCCCGCCAGTCTTTAACCTCACTCAGGCCATCAAGGAGCGGCTGGATGGAGGTAAAAGTCTTCAAGGGAACATAAATCTGGCAGTCGTCCGCATAAAGATGAAAGTTGATGTTGAACTTCCTGAAGATTAGTCCCAGTGGAATAATATAAATGCTAAATAAAAGGGGGCCGAGGATAGACCCCTGTGGCACGCCCCAAGGAAGCGCAGCATGTATGTGTTCAATACCGCACCTAACCTTTGAGTTTTTTATACCTGAGTTCTCGAGACATGAAAGTAAATTTCACTATCTGACAACTCAGTTGCATCTTTTAAATCAACTGTTCCATCTTTACTGTCCTCAGCATCTCAGAGGAACGTAGCAGAGGGCAATATTTTCAGTTCTAGCCCCTCACAAATTGATTTCTTAACCCCCAAATTCCACTACCTCCGGTCCGCCCCCGCCTTCCGCAGCCGCTCGCTTCCGAACTCAATTTTTACCGGTACCCGCTCTACAACGGCTCCGCTCCGGTGCGGAGACCTGAGGTGGGCAAACAAGCATGCGCGGGATTTTCGAGATCTTGCGATACCGTCCGAGCAATAAACGCGGAAGTTAGATCCAAACACCCGTTGTGTGGGAGAAGCATCGACATGAACTGTTTAATCTGCCCATCATTTGTGTTGAGAGCTCAGCAGTGTTTGGATCAACAAAGCGTGACTACTTTGATAGTGGAAACTGTTTTTATGGCTTACTTTTGTGCATTTAAACTTCAGCCGCCATTGATAGTTGTTAAAAGTTGTTAAACCTGTGCATATGAAACAAAACACGCCTTTTGTTTATCGATTTATTGTGAAAAACGGAAGTTGTGCTTGCTCCCTTTCCTGTTGGGCGGTTGTGATTTGTGTCCATTTACTGCGGAGGTGCTCCGGCGTCTGGCGAAAATAGGATCGATTCTGTTTTTGCCGGATGCCGGAGCAGAGGGCGACGCACTGCGCCGCACTGCCGGAGCACGGCCGCAGTAGTGGAATTGCTCTGATTGACTAGAACGGGACCGATTTTGCTCCGGCGTTCGTGTCGGAGTGGAGGGGAGCGGAGGTAGTGGAATTTGGGGGTTAGTTCATCACGTTACTTCCTCTTTACGTGTGGCATTAGATGATGTTGCCCCTTTAAAAAAGAAGGTAATTAGGGACAGGAAGTTGGCTCCCTGGTTTAACTCTCATCTACGAGCCTTAAAACAAAACTCTAGGAAATTGGAGAGAACATGGGGCTCTACGCACCATGAGGAGGCCTACCTATCCTGGAAAAATAGTCTTCTGATCAAACCTCTGATCACAAAAACTGTTTCTTCCCTCTGTCGTCTGTCTCATGAACACCTGGTGATACCTGCATTAACCTGCACATCATATACCAGTCACTGTAATAGTATGTTTGCACTGTTTATCCTGCTGCTGACTGCACATATTATCTATCATTTATTACCTACTATGTGTTTTTTTACGTGTGCTCATGTTGCACCTTATCCCCGAAACAAGTTCCTAGTCAGTGAGCTGCGTTCAATGAAAATGTCAATAAAAAATCTTCTGATTCTGAAACTTACACAGAACCATACCTCTGATTCTAGATACGTATAATCAATCCATCCTTAGTAGATGGATACGTACCACAGGGTTTTAAGGTTGCTGTAATCAAACCTTTACTTGAAGGGACTTTACGGACTTTTGAATTTTCATGCTCACGATTGCCCCCTCAGGCCAATAGCGTAACGGCAGCTTCAATAGTAGGCTCCTCTCCTGTGGAACCAGCGCCCAGCTTTAGTCCGTGAGGCAGACACCTTGTCTACTTTCAAGACTAGGCTTAAGACATTTTTATTTGATAGGGCCTGTGGTTAAATTCGGGTTAGGGTTGGTGTTGTGTGCGCTGTTTTGCCGACTAGTCTCTATACAGCCGATGGCTGGGGGAGGTGTCAGCCCAAGTTGGGCAATTGTCCAACTTGGCTAAGTGGCCCACTGGGACTGTGTCAGAATGCCAGATGGGCCGGTCCACCCCTGGTGAGGGCGCAGCATCTGCAGATGCTCAGACCCGGACCTGATCTAAACCCTAACCTGGTCCTTGATGGCTTCAACGTGATTCTGGATTAGAAGTTCTCCAGACGTTCTGAAGCATTGTTGGGATCGGTTTGGAGGAATTTGTTGTAGGACTTATCAGATAAACAGGAGTGAAAACTGGAACCGGGTCTAAACAGGAGCATAAACCATTCCCAGACAGAGAGGCGGTGTACCTGCGGTTCATGACGTACGGGGTCTGGTTGACCCACTCCCATCTCCCAGACTTCTCATCAGTCAGACCAACCCAGAAGAAAGTTCCACCTGCCATTCTGGTCACAAAGTCCTGGACCACGGAGACAAAGACTCACATAAGTAAATGGGATCCAGGTTTCTGAGGATCATGTCCTCCTCAGACCTGTTCCTCCTAGGTTGTCAAACCTAAGCCTGTTGACATGGACAACAGAGACAGGAGGTCTCACCCACTCCTCGTCCCTCATTAGTATGACCAGGTGGGACTCGTGTCCATTGCACCAGTCTCTGGCCTCGTGCCAGGACAGGGGGATCTTACTGAAGTAGTAACAGCTTGACTCCAGCATCTCCCAGCCCAGAGGACAGCAGCCAGCTGACATGGACCCTGAGACACACGAGGACAGTGAGGACAACATCTGACTCAAGTCAGAGGGGAGCATCAGATCAGGTGTGTGTGTGTACCGTTATTGAGTCTGCGTTCGATGGTACATTTCAGTGCAGCCACGGTTCTGCTGATGGTGTCCAGAGCGGAGAGCTGCTTCAGAGCCTCAGAGACTGAGGAGACAGAGTCACGGTCAAAGCCAGGGTCAGAGACTGATGCTGGACTCTGATATCAGCTGTTGGCATTTGTTAGCTTCTGTTACCATCTGTTAGTATCTGTTAGCATTTGTTAGCATCTGTTAGCATTTGTTTGTGTCTGCTAGCATCTGTTAGTGTCTGTTCGTCTGTAGCACGGAGCAGCCGTTCAGTGTGGGAACGGGAGAAGATAATAGTTGTGTGTGTGTGTGTGTGTGTGTGTGTGTGTGTGTGTGTGTGTGTGTGTGTGTGTGTGTTAAACTCTGCCCACAGGCTCAGGATTTCAGCATTCTTGAGAAGTCCCTCTGATTTATATGTGAACACTACACTGCCCGTTAGAGACCAAACACACGCCATTCAGCCTGACCAAACCCCGACCGAGCCGATGCTAATGTGTAGGCATCATTATTGTCTGTTTTCTGTTAGCGTCTGTTTGTGTCTGTTGTCATCTGTTAGTGTCTGTTAGTGTCTGTTGTCATTACTCTCTTGTTAAAACCAGGCAAAGACCCAGCATTTCCTACCAGCTATCGCCCAATTTCTCTTATTAATGTTGATCTCAAAATAATTTGTAAAGCCCTGGCCAAAAGATTAGAGAAGGTAACCCCCTTCATAATACACCCTGACCAAACTGGTTTCATTAAAGGTAGACAGTCATCCACAAACTCACGTAGATTACTTAATTTACCATACCATACTATACCATCTTTATTTATAAAGCACATTTAAAAATGGCATGGCAGCCGACCAAAGTGCTGTACAGAATAAAAAGTAAAAACACAATATAAAACAATACACGGTCAACAATAAAATGCACAACAAGGCAGATAATTAAAGTCAATAAAAAGACACATAATAAAATAATAAAAGTCAGGGATTTAAAAATGCCTGGTCGTAAAAGTGAGCCTTCAGCAGCGATTTGAACCGGAGGAGGGATGGTGCCAGCCTCACCGAAAGAGGAAGTGCATTCCATAGTGTGGGAGCAGCGTAGACAAAAGCACGCTGCCCCGCGTTTTGTATTTCATTAATGGAACACGAAGCAGCAGGCAATCAGCAGACCTCGACGCCCAGTTTGGCACATATCTAGTGACAAGATCCGACAGGTAATCCGGTGCTAGACCGTTCAGGGCCTTAAAAACAAAAATCAGGATTTTAAATTTGACCCTAAAGTTTACGGGTAGCCAGTGGAGCTTCGCCAGTACAGGTGTGATATGTTCTCTCCTAGGAGACTGATAGATTTCTCTTACAGTAGAAACATAGAAACTAGTATATTATCTCTAGATGCAGAAAAGGCTTTTGATAGAGTTAACTGGAAGTTCTTATTTGCAACTTTACATAAATTTGGCTTTGGGAACTTCTTCATAAACTGGCTACAAACATTATACAGTTCGCCAACTGCACGTTTCAGGACGAACGACCAAATATCAGCTAGCTTCTGTCTTCAGAGGGGGACCAGGCAGGGATGCCCACTCTCCCCCTCACTATTTGCTATCTTTATCGAACCACTAGCAGCAGCAATTAGGCAAAAAACAGATATTAAAGGGATAAAGTGTAAGAAAATAGAACATAAGATCAGTCTTTATGCAGATGATGTTTTAATCTTTCTTCAGAATTCTCAATCCTCTCTCTCCCATTCAATAGAACTGATAAACTCTTTTTCAAAAGTTTCTGTTTACTATATAAACTGGTTAAAATCCACAGTTTACCAATTAATTTCTCATTTGTCAATTTGCTTAATACACAATTGGAGTCAGGGAATATCACATACCTGGGAATTAATATCTCTCCCAAGTTAGCAGATCTAACCAAACTAAACTACATCCCACTTTTAAAGAAAGAGGAAGATGATCTTGCAAGATGGAAATCCTTACCGATATCACTCATGGGGAGAGTTGCTACAGTTAAAATGATGGTCTTACCCAGAATAAATTACTTATTCTCGATGATCCCAAACAAACCACCAGCTGACTGGTTTAAATCTCTGGACTCCTCAATTACCAAATTCCTTTGGCAGGATAAACCTCCACGAATTAGCTTAAAAACGCTTCAGAAGACCAAAGACAGAGGAGGACTGGATCTACCCAACTTTTATTATTATTTCTTAGCCAACAGGCTGCAATGTATACCAAGATGGTTGCAAGATAACCCACTAGACGAGTCCTGGTTAGATATAGAACAGACACTTTGCAATACGATAGAGCTTTCAGACTTACCATTTATTAGCTCAAGCATAAGAAAACATGAAAGCTTCAAAAGTATTAGTATCAGCACCTCTCTGACAACATGGTGGGAGTATCTTAAAATGACAGAGTCTTCACTAGTACCATGCAGACTCACACCTATCTGGAACAATCCTGACATTTTGCAAAACAACAAAATGATGAACCTTCCGGACTGGAAAAATAAAGGAATCCTATACCTGGAACACATATATGAAGAACTGGACTTCATCCCATTTAATCAAATAGTCTCCCAATTTGGAATAGATAAGAATAGCTTTTTAGAATATCACCAAATTAAATCTGTTGCCAAACAAGAATTTAAGCTCAATAAAATAGAATTACAAACACCACCAAGGGTATTAGACTTCTATAATCTCAAACCCCCCAAACTACTGTCTAAAGTATATAAGACACTGTCCAAAATAGACGATAGAATAGTAATCCCTATTGAAAAATGGGAGGTGGATCTATCAGCCAGCTTTGACCAGAACTTCTGGTCCCAAACTTGTTTAAAAACTTTTAAAATGATCAGACACCCCAATTTACAATTAATTCAGTACAAAATTCTACACAGAGTACACTATACAGGTCATCGGATGTTCAGGATGGGGTTTGTGTCGTCTGACACCTGTACACACTGCACAAACAACATTCCTGACAATTACATTCATGCACTGTGGTCCTGCCCACCTGTCCAGGAATTTTGGGGTAGAGTATGTGAGGATCTGTCAAAATGTCTGAAATGTCATATCCCAACTTCCCCCTCTCTTTGTTTACTGGGAAACCTGGACGATGTCCCGATTGAAAAATCTGTGGTTCACGTGGTTCTGACTGCCATATGCATCGCTAAGAAAACTATCCTCTTGAATTGGAAAAATAGAGAAACTCTCTGCATTAACCAGTATAGAAATCTTTTGTTAGATCATATTGCACTTGATTTAGCCTCTGCTTCCACTTCAAGTCAATCTCTCTGGGCTCCTTTGATCGGTTCCATCACATAGCGATGATGGGGGGTCATTGATATTGTCCTGCGGGGTGATGGGGGGGGGGGGGGGTCTGAGTTTGGAGTATCCTGACATTCCCTGAGGGTGGGTTCACTGGGGGCGTGTGGGGCTGGGGGGCTGCTGTCCCCCTCTGGAGGTGCTCGGGTTGCCTCACGGTGTGGACTGCTGGTGGTTGTGAGTGGGGCCCCTTGGAGGTCTTGGCGGTGGCCATGGGTTGCTGCCTGGTGGCTGCAATGCCTCTGAGTGGGTCTGGGTGGGGGCCTGGGGGCTCGGGGTGTGGGGTTGGCCAGCCCCGTATGGGGATCTGGGCAGGACCTTGGGGGTCGGGTCCTGACATGTATGCTGCCGGGAAGAAGGTGGGAACATGCGGCAGTGCCTGGCCCGGGCTAAGGGACCTCGGGTAGACCTTGGCTCCTCTGCTGTCCATCACGGGGGGGGGGGGGGGGGGGGGGGGGTGTTGAGGAGGGGGAGGACCCAACCTTACCTGGATGTCCTATGTCTTATATATTCTGGAAGCTGTGCAAATGCAGGGTTGGTAGTAGATATTCTGCTGGGGTGGGGCTGCGTTGGTTCCCTCGGACTCCGTGGAGCACTGCAGTGCTGCTGCTTTGGGCCCTGGCAAAATGGGCTGGGGTCTCCATGCCCTGGGTGGCATTTTGGCAACGGAGGTGCCTATTGGGGCCAGTGGGGGACCTGGCTACCTGGAGGGCTTAGGCCAACCAGCCTTTCCTCCCTATCCCCGCACATTTTCCTCCTCCTGCTCCCTCATATCATCACGCAAACATGCACTTAGGGCTTTGGGGGTGGACAAGTCAGGGAGTGCAGGTATGGACCCAATTTCCGCATTCCTGTGGCAACCTGCCCCCCAATTTTATTTGCACCTTAAACACTTCCACCAATGACATTCCACGCAAACACACACTTAGGGCCTTTGGAGTGAGCACATTCAACTGTATTTGGCAAGGGGATCTTTCAGCCTCATCCCAAGTGCCGGTGCCCACTTCCAACTTTAATCTGCACTTAAGACACCGAGGGCTGTGGGGGGAAGAGGGGTGGTGTGGTGGCATCAGCTGGCGTAGGCCGGACGATGCCTGCACTGCCCGCTCACCACAGCCATGAATACACCTCGTCAACACGCACCAACACTGTATTGGAGCAGGTGGAGGGAGACTAGGGGTCTTAGCACACCTCTGTTGTCGCTTGGCTTCGCGGGGCTGGAGGCTAGGAGGGAGATCTGGCCATCTGGCTGGGGTCTGGGGTGGTGGGTCGCTTTGCTTGGCGTTGGGCGGGGGAGCCTGCTCATCAGAACCCCAGCAGAAAGGGTCGAACTCTGGGAACCGGTAATGGTTGTACCCCATGTGCAGTAGTACCGGGACCAGAGTGAATATGGTGTGTATGGGGAGTATGGGTGGGTGTCTGGCGTGCATTTTTGTGAGTCTTTGGTTGTATGTGTATGTGTGAGCGTGAGGGAGGGAGTGTGTGACTGTGTTTGTGTATGACTGTACATGTCAGGTGCGGCCTTTGGCTCCTCCCCTCTCCTGGGACTTCTTTTGCTGCTATACATGTTCACCTCCCCTCCCACTTGGTGTGAAGTGCGGTGCCTTGGTCTGCCTGAGTGTTCGCGGCTCCTGGGTCAGGGGTTTAAGGTTTTTAGCATCTGCCTGATTAATCCTGGTGGTTGCCTGGTGGGATCTGGGCCCCTGGGCTCTGTTGGGTCCCCGGCGGGGCTGGTCGCACATGGGTCCCGAGTCGCTGGGTTCCAGGCTTGGCTGGCTAGGGGGTGGGAGGCTGCGGGCGGGCCTGTGGGCTTGCCGCTGATATCCCCCGGAACTCTGCCGGTTGCTGGTTGTGGCCCCCCGCGGCGATCCTCTGCACATCTCGAGGGGAGCAGGGGATTTTCTGGTCGTGGTCTCCTTGGGGTTCCTGTGCTCTGGGGGCAATTCCTGGATCTCTGGGACTTGGAGCTCCCTCCATCTCCTACACATCTTTGGGGGGCAGATCTGTGGCCCCTCACACTCTCTATTGGACGCTTTTATAGAGAAACCTTACATAAACAAGCGCGTGTATGCACACAGGTGCTCACATGGTGCTCTCATAAGTATGGACTTGGGCACGTTCAACACATGTCTTAAGGATGTGGATGGCACTAAATACACTGTGATTTATTATCGTGATTGTTCAGTAAAACAATGATTTTGTATTTCCTCATCAGGTTGACGCAGTGATAGCTTGCTCCTGTTGTATTGCTGTGTGTCCCTTTTCTTTTTTTTCTCTCTCTCCTTCTGCAGGTCTAGAAGCAGACTCTTGTTCATCATTGATAGTTTGTTTTTGTGGACCCCCCCCCCCCCCCCCCCCCCAGTGTCTGTTAACATGTTCTAGTGTCTGCTAGTGTCTGTTAACATCTGTTAACGTCTGTTAGCATCTTTTAGTGTCTGTTAACATCTTTCAGTGTCTGCTAGTGTCTGTTAACATGTTATTTTCTGTTAGCATCTTTTAGTGTCTGTTAACATCTTTTAGTGTCTGCTAGTGTCTGTTAACATCTGTTAATGTCTGTTAGCATCTTTTAGTGTCTGTTAACATCTTTTAGTGTCTGCTAGTGTCTGTTAACATCTGTTAATGTCTGTTAGCGTCTTTTAGTGTCTGTTAACATCTTTCAGTGTCTGCTAGTGTCTGTTAACATCTGTTAATGTCTGTTAGCGTCTTTTAGTGTCTGTTAACATCTTTTAGTGTCTGCTAGTGTCTGTTAACATCTGTTAATGTCTGTTAGCGTCTTTTAGTGTCTGTTAACATCTTTTAGTGTCTGCTAGTGTCTGTTAACATCTGTTAATGTCTGTTAGCGTCTTTTAGTGTCTGTTAACATCTTTCAGTGTCTGCTAGTGTCTGTTAACATCTGTTAATGTCTGTTAGCGTCTTTTAGTGTCTGTTAACATCTTTTAGTGTCTGCTAGTGTCTGTTAACATATGTTAACGTCTGTTAGCATCTTTTAGTGTCTGTTAACATCTTTTAGTGTCTGCTAGTGTCTGTTAACATCTTTCAGTGTCTGCTAGTGTCTGTTAACATCTTTCAGTGTCTGCTAGTGTCTGTTAACATCTGTTAATGTCTGTTAGCGTCTTTTAGTGTCTGTTAACATCTTTTAGTGTCTGCTAGTGTCTGTTAACATATGTTAACGTCTGTTAGCATCTTTTAGTGTCTGTTAACATCTTTTAGTGTCTGCTAGTGTCTGTTAACATATGTTAATGTCTGTTAGCATCTTTTAGTGTCTGTTAACATCTTTTAGTGTCTGCTAGTGTCTGTTAACATATGTTAATGTCTGTTAGCATCTTTTAGTGTCTGTTAACATCTTTCAGTGTCTGCTAGTGTTTGTTAACATCTGTTAACATCTGTTAGCATCTTTTAGTGTCTGCTAGTGTTTGTTAACATCTTTTAGTGTCTGCTAGTGTCTGTTAACATCTGTTAATGTCTGTTAGCATCTTTTAGTGTCTGCTAGTGTCTGTTAACATCTGTTAATGTCTGTTAACATCTTTTAGTGTCTGTTAACATCTTTCAGTGTCTGCTAGTGTTTGTTAACATCTGTTAACATCTGTTAGCATCTTTTAGTGTCTGCTAGTGTTTGTTAACATCTTTTAGTTTCTGCTAGTGTCTGTTAACATCTGTTAATGTCTGTTAGCATCTTTTAGTGTCTGTTAACATCTTTCAGTGTCTGCTAGTGCTTGTTAACATCTTTTAGTGTCTGCTAGTGTCTGTTATCATCTGTTAATGTCTGTTAACATCTTTTAGTGTCTGTTAACATCTTTCAGTGTCTGTTAGTGTTTGTTAACATCTTTTAGTGTCTGCTAGTGTCTGTTAACATCTGTTAATGTCTGTTAGCATCTTTTAGTGTCTGTTAACATCTTTCAGTGTCTGCTAGTGCTTGTTAACATCTTTTAGTGTCTGCTAGTGTCTGTTAACATCTTTTAGTGTCTGCTAGTGTCTGTTAACATATGTTAATGTCTGTTAGCATCTTTTAGTGTCTGTTAACATCTTTCAGTGTCTGCTAGTGTTTGTTAACATCTGTTAACATCTGTTAGCATCTTTTAGTGTCTGTTAGTGTTTGTTAACATCTTTTAGTGTCTGCTAGTGTCTGTTAACATCTGTTAATGTCTGTTAGCATCTTTTAGTGTCTGTTAACATCTTTCAGTGTCTGCTAGTGCTTGTTAACATCTTTTAGTGTCTGCTAGTGTCTGTTAACATCTGTTAATGTCTGTTAACATCTTTTAGTGTCTGTTTACATCTTTCAGTGTCTGTTAGTGTTTGTTAACATCTGTTAACATCTGTTAGCATCTTTTAGTGTCTGCTAGTGTCTGTTAACATCTGTTAATGTCTGTTAGCATCTTTTAGTGTCTGTTAACATCTTTCAGTGTCTGCTAGTGTTTGTTAACATCTTTTAGTGTCTGCTAGTGTCTGTTAACATCTGTTAGCATCTTTTAGTGTCTGCTAGTGTTTGTTAACATCTTTTAGTGTCTGCTAGTGTCTGTTAACATCTGTTAATGTCTGTTAGCATCTTTTAGTGTCTGTTAACATCTTTTAGTGTCTGCTAGTGTCTGTTAACATCTTTTAGTGTCTGCTAGTGTCTGTTAACATCTTTTAGTGTCTGCTAGTGTTTGTTAACATCTTTTAGTGTCTGCTAGTGTCTGTTAACATCTGTTAATGTCTGTTAGCATCTTTTAGTGTCTGTTAACATCTTTCAGTGTCTGCTAGTGTCTGTTAACATCTTTTAGTGTCTGCTAGTGTTTGTTAACATCTTTTAGTGTCTGCTAGTGTCTGTTAACATCTGTTAGCATCTTTTAGTGTCTGCTAGTGTCTGTTAACATCTGTTAGCATCTTTTAGTGTCTGTTAATATCTTTTAGTGTCTGCTAGTGTTTGTTAACATCTTTTAGTGTCTGCTAGTGTCTGTTAACATCTGTTAACATCTTTTAGTGTCTGCTAGTGTTTGTTAACATCTTTTAGTGTCTGTTAGCATCTTTTAGTGTCTGTTAGTGTTTGTTAACATCTTTCAGTGTCTGCTAGTGTCTATTAACATCTTTTAGTGTCTGCTAGTGTCTGTTGACATCTGCTAGTGTCTGTCAACATCTTTTAGTGTCTGCTAGTGTCTGTTAACATCTGTTAGCATCTTTTAGTGCCTGTTAACATCTTTTAGTGTCTGCTAGTGTCTGTTGACATCTGCTAGTGTCTGTTAGCATCTTTTAGTGTCTGCTAGTGTTTGTTAACATCTTTTAGTGTCTGTTAGCATCTTTTAGTGTCTGTTAGTGTTTGTTAACATCTTTCAGTGTCTGCTAGTGTCTATTAACATCTTTTAGTGTCTGCTAGTGTCTGTTGACATCTGCTAGTGTCTGTCAACATCTTTTAGTGTCTGCTAGTGTCTGTTAACATCTGTTAGCATCTTTTAGTGCCTGTTAACATCTTTTAGTGTCTGCTAGTGTCTGTTGACATCTGCTAGTGTCTGTTAGCATCTTTTAGTGTCTGCTAGTGTTTGTTAACATATTTTAGTGTCTGTTAGCATCTTTTAGTGTCTGTTAGTGTTTGTTAACATCTTTCAGTGTCTGCTAGTGTCTATTAACATCTTTTAGTGTCTGCTAGTGTCTGTTGACATCTGCTAGTGTCTGTCAACATCTTTTAGTGTCTGCTAGTGTCTGTTAACATCTGTTAGCATCTTTTAGTGCCTGTTAACATCTTTTAGTGTCTGCTAGTGTCTGTTGACATCTGCTAGTGTCTGTTAGCATCTGGCTGTGTGTACCACCTGAAGTCAACTGATCTCTGTTATTCTCCACAGCAAACTTCAGTCGTCGAACCTCTGTACTGGTTTCTGTCAGAGACAAGAAGATAAGAGACACAGAACATGAGCCAGAGGATAGGACAGGGAGAACAAAAGGCAGTGGCTTGTGGTCACCTGGACAGGTGAGTTACCTGAGGCGAGCTGCTGGGTGGAGCTTTGAGACTCCGTCAGGTTGGAAACAGTTTTTTCCACAGACCAGAGTTGTCTCAGGGTCTGAGTGTCTGAACAGAAACACATTCTGTTAAAATAGGCTAGAAACAGTTTTTACTTTAGCTTGACCCGGGCCTGGACTGGAATGAAAATGTAGCCCTGGCATCTCTCCGCTGGATGTGGGAGCAGCTATTTACCTGTGGTGGACCTTCAGCATCACCTAGTGTCCTGGAGAGGGGGAGGTCCACAAGATCTAGAACCAGATTCTGGTTCCTGAACCAGATCCCTTCACTTCACCTTAAATACCATCTGAAATAATCCATAAACATCTTCTAACATTTAACTGCCAGGTAAACCTGGGTATCATCTACAAAGCGGTATTTCCAAAGGGGTTCACATGAAG